AACAGAACTTTCTTAGTTGTTGAAGACTTAAACATCTGCCTGAGGTCAGGAGGCAATTTGCCTGCCTTGTACAAAAGCTCAGGTGAAAGACTGAGATGAATGTCTTTCCTCTCTCTATCTCCCACAAGACTTCCTCCTGGAAAACTCTTTGGTAGATTTGGCCAGGAGCTTGCCTTTATGTAAATTGGAGGAATACACACCGTACACTATCCACAGATATAGCCAAGTAGATTTGGGTAGAGAATACTATTTCCAAAGTAGGGTTTAGATCACCTAGGGGGATGTGTTTGTATACACATTTGCATATACCCACACGGGGACATAAGCTAATTTTTTACAGGACACAGAATTCTGTTCAATGCTGTTAAATATGCCAGTAGTATAATCTCTTCTATTTTGTTGTCGTTGCTTGTTTGAAGAAAATCATGACATTCCAAGTTGACTTTTTTTTCATTTTAATTAAAATTTGAAATTCTGAACACCCTTGACATCCCTCTAACTGGGGTCAGCTGACCTCTGTCCCTCTCCTTTTCTCCTGCTTCATGTTTGGGGCCTTCATTTAACTGCCTTACTGGCTTGGCTCAGGTGGGAGATGAGAGTTAGTGTGGGTCAGGGGCCCCAGGCACAAGAGGGAAAGCTGCGAAGTGTCCTGCCTCAGCTAGATGGCCACTTTCCTGGGTTACGAGACAGCCTGCTCTTCTTCCCACAGCTCACTGGTAGGCAAACACCATCTCCTGAGGTCCTTACCTCATGGGATTAAAATCAGTGGTCACTGGGAAAGCCTGACTCTGCAATCAGCTGTAGGGATTTTGTTGTGTTGTTTTTTTTTTTTAAATAAAACTATAATATAAGTTCTCTGATTAAATAAAATTATTTTAAGTATTGAAAGTGAGATGCCAAGTGTAGGTGATAATGTATACTTTACAGAGTTGGGGGTGGTAGGTTGGTAACATTTAACATGATTGCTCTGTCTCTTTTTTCAGATTATGGGTATTTATCCTCCTAGTATTTGTATCTTCAGTTCATTCCACTTTAGGAAACAGAGCTGCCAATTGAAACAGGAGAAAAAAAAAAAAAAGAAGCAGACAACACAGTGTAATGTCTTGAGCACACAAACACACACACACATGCACAAATGCCCAGGCAAGGTGTTTAGCAGAACCCCTCAGTGGGAAGGCAGTAGAGGCATCTGGCTTCCATAGGATCCATTTTATTATCTTGTATCTTTCACCTATGGTCGTGCCATCTGGCAGGTGGAAAATGGGAGGCTTTGCCTTCTCAGTGCAGCAGTATAAGCAAAAGCAGCTGAGGTCAGCAGGCCGGAGGTTCTTAAGAAGTAAGCCCCAGCCTTGGTGTTCTGAGAATTTCTAGATTTCAACTTCAAAGTTTTCTAAGGTGGAACCCCTGGTCCAACTCACACAAGTGCCCTCCCACAAATGGACAACAGCATCCCCTCTATGAAGCATCAGTGATTCTTGGTCCCTGATGGGGCCACCTCCACTCACACAAGGCGGGACCTGGGGTGAGGCCTGAGCATGAGTCATCTGAAGTTTCCCTGCAGAAATGTTGTGGAACCACAGTTCCATCTGTCAGGCCCTGGCAAAGAGATAGCAGGTCCTGGGCAAAGAAAGGTCCTTTGCAAAGCAATGTTGGCAGAGGGCGGTTTTTGAGCTTTCTATAAGCTATAGCTTTGTTTATTTCACCTGTTCACTTACTGTATAATTTAAAGTCATTTATGTAGTTGAGACACTTCCGTATTTCAATCATATCGTGAACGTTTTATTTTGCTAAATCTTGTGTCATGTGTAGGCTTTAATATGTGTACATTGTGTTTAAGAGAAAAAAAATGGAACCCACATGCCGCCATTTTCCTGAATCAAATTCTACAGTGGAAATGAGGGTAAAATACTTCTACTGTGCAGGCAGCTCGACTGGCGAACTGGAGAAATGAGAAGGAACTAGCACTTGAGATTCATCTGTCCCCCTCCCTTTATTGGCATCCTAGTGCTTTCTGGAGTAGCAAGAAGTACTTGCTATTTTCTTCTGAAAATAGCAAGTAATTCATGTCCTTGCTCTATATCAACTGGCACTGGGCAGTCTGCTGGTCAGTCCCATTCTTCTTCCCCTTGATCTTTGACTACCCAATTGGGAAGCCATGATTTCTCCTAAAAATCCAGAGCTATGGGAGTTGTGATTCCAAGACCTCTTGGCCTCATCTGGCCATCTCTTCTCCCTCCCTATCCACCTATCTAGAAAGCACTACACCCAGCCTCTCTCCTCTCAGACCTGTGTTCCATGTGGCTGGGTAGATAATACTGGAGACTTGTCCTTAACTGTCACCCAGCTCCAGACCTACATCATGGCAGTTTAGGTGTAGCCCATGAGCACCAATTTTCATACGATGGTTCTTGAACAATTTAAGAAACAATTGGAATAACTCTGTCTCAGAGACACTGTGGCCCCCTGGGAGATAGTACCCTCCCCTGCCCTGGCCTTTCATCTTGTGTTTGATGGTCGCCAACATGGATTACCCCAAGATGGCACCTGAGTGTTTGGCTCCTGGCTACCGAAGGTAAAAATATCACTACAAAAGTTTCACACAAGGAAAACACTTTAAAAATCTGATGACAGATGCAAAACAAAATGTGGGAGTGTAGGGGAGATGGATATCAACAGCCTCTGAATTGGCTCTTGGGAGGTGTGAGGAGAGGAAGAACTTAAAGACTAGTTCCTGCTTTGAGGGGTGGGCTTCATAGATTCTCCCAGGCCCACACCTTTCCCTTTAGCCAGTCTGCTGTCCTGAGACCCAGAAGTGATGGAGAGAAACCAACCAGAGAAAACCCTGTCTGGAAGGAATGTATTTGTTGCTAAATTTTGTAGCACTGTTTACAGTTTTCCTCCATGTTATTTATGAATTTTATATTCCGTGAATGTATATTGTCTGTAATGTTGCATAATGTTCACTTTTTATAGTGTGTCCTTTATTCTAAACAGTAAAGTGGTTTTATTTCTATCACACACCTGCAGTCTCTTGCCTCCTTATATCCTGACCACCACTGGGAGTAATATAGCCTTGGAAGCTGGTCCTGCCTGTCCTGGCTGCAGGCCTATGCATGTTCCCCTCCATTCATTCACTTCAACAGCCTGGGCCCACCATGCTCTAGTCCTTTCCCAAGGCTGGAACAATTTCAAGAGTGGCATTGTAGATTTCCCTCTGACTGCTAATCCTGGCCTAAGCTTGCTCCCTGATTCCACAGTCAAGGTTCTCCATAGCTCTACAGAATCTGGATCTCTATCTAATTAACTATTAGTAACCTGTACAGGTATTCCCAGACCAGACATGGCTTTCTTATTTTCTTCCTAAGAATCTCACACCATGGAAGTGAGAGGGGATGGCTGAAAACATCAGTGTCCGATGCCAAATGCCTGCCTGAAATTCCAAGTGTGGCTCAGCCTAGTGGGGAATGCCAGGAAATCAAGAGGTCCCACTAACTGGTGAGCTCCTCCCAGAGCTTACATCTGGATCTATTATCCTCAATGGGCTGGGTTGGCTCCAGACCCCTCACCCAACTTTCATTCCATTGTTGACAATGTTCCAGGGTATAATGCCCCTATTTTAAACTACTCAACTTGTATCACCTATCATATGTCAGGCATAGCACTCTATATACATGAATACATTAAACTTCAAAAACCCAATGAGGTTGCCCCACTGTCCTCCATAGTTTCCAGCTGAGGAACCCAAGTCTTGAGTTAATTCATTGCTCAAGGCTTAGTACACTGGCAGTCTAGGATTCAAACTCATTCTGGCTTGATGATAAACCTTGACTTTTCTCTACTGTGTTCATGTTTTGTTGGAATATGCCAGGTTCCCCAAATCTTCATATTCTAAGCAGCACATCCTGGATTCTAAGACTCTTACCAGATCAGATATAAGGGAAAGATAATCAATGGAAACCTCTTTACTTGTTTTGACTGCTCTTCCTTGGAGCTTGCATTCCTACCCATCGGTGCCTCCAAACAGAATCGTCCAGGTCAGCAGCCTGAGCTTGGATTCTACATCCAGGCTGCAGTCCCCATCTAGGACATTTGGATACTGTGTTAACTACCCTGTTCCCCAAGGTTCACATTCCTCACGAGGCAAGTATGGGTCCATGGCCCAGCATTCCTTTGACCAATTTAAGAAGACACCAACCAAACAAGCACACACATCACAGGGTATCTCCAGCTGCACAAAACTCTTCTGCCCAACTTCTTCTGGCTGTGGAATGGAGAACTCTCCACCCTATCCAGAAAGATGTTAACCTCCCCACCCAGCTCTCCTCCAAATGAGAGGCTCTACCATGTGCTCCAAGCTAAGCTTCAACCATTTCCCAGAGACAACCTCAGGTACATCCAAAAGTCAAAATGCAAAGAGAACATACAAAGAAACTGCCCTTTGATGATCAACACCAATAAAATACTACTGTTTTTTTCAAAATGCAAAGAGAACATACAAAGAAACTGCCCTTTGATGATCAACACCAATAAAATACTACTGTTTTTTCAAAATGCAAAGAGAACATACAAAGAAACTGCTCTTCAATGATCAACACCGATAAAATATTACTGTTTTTATTGAGATGAGAGTTGAAACCAGGTTCTGCCCAGGGCTCAAGGGAAACAACTTCCAACTTTTGAAACATCTTTTATCTTTATTATCAAACTTTGTCTCCAAAATGCCAGCTCAAGTTGTCCCCAGATTTGCTGAAAATTCCCAATATCCCAAGGAATGCCATCCATCTTTGTCATTTACCCTGCTACCTGAAACTTAACCTAAAGTGTTGATTCTTTCCCTAGGAAAACCAGGCATTCCCACAGGACACCACAACTCCTCCTTAGAGCCCAGGTAGTCAGGGAGTGACCCCTTAGCTCACTCCTCCAGCCAAAGGGATGGAAAACATGGGCATCTGTGTTCATTCCGTATCAAGAAGTTAATCAGAGTGAAAAAGGGCACTCACCATTGGCTTATGGTTGGGAAAGAATGTTTGTTCCACAAGTGGGAACTTCTCAGGACCCAAGGAATGGAAGATCTTAATGAGTTGAGAGAACTAGGAGAGAAGAAAAAGAGCATTGGTCAATCATTGTTATCCAGTATTGTGGAACCTCCCACTTGATCCCAGGCCTCAAGTAACTGACTGTTCTGGGCTGAGCTGCAGTAGCTAGTCCCTGTTTACAGGATAAAAACCAGATTCTTTGGCCAGAAGTTCATTCTCTCAATCATCTGGCTGCATCAACCCTTCATTTCTTCCAGGCCACTGAGTTTAGCTCAATTACATTTAATGAGCATTTACTACACACTCAACATTTCACACAAGCACAACCTGCTGACATTCATGCCACAATCCCAGCCTGCAAAGCCTTTTTTTCTAGAGAGGTAGGACTATGTAACAGTTTATGGTGTAGACTATGGATTCAAATTCTCCACCACTTACTAAATGTGTAGCCTAGAAAGCAAATCCATTCGTAAATGGAAAAAATAAGGAGATCCAGTAATACACAATGTATGAAAAGCTGCCCTTGGTCCCTAGGAGCACTCAAATGTTAGATCCCAGCTAACATGTTGAACAACGTGGATTTGAACTACACAGGAACACTTACATGCGGATTCTTTTCAGTAAGTATAATTCAGTGCTATAAATGTTATTTTCTTTTCCTTATGATTTTCTTAACAACATTTCCCCTAGATTACTTTACTGTAAGAAAACAACATATAATACATATACTATATGAAATTGTGTTAATTATTTATGATATTAGTAGAGCTTTCAGTCAACAATAGGCTATCAGTAGTTAGGTCCTGGGGGAGTCAATTATTATGCACAGATTTTCAACTGCACAGGGTGTTGGCACCCCAACTCATGCACTATTCAAGGGTCAACTCTATTTTTTCTGCTTTTACAACCACACTCATTTCCAACTGCTTGAGCAGCATCCATTCCACACCTGGCTCCTCTTGCTTCAGCACAGCCTCGTTTTGCCATAGAGGTAGCTACCATCTCTAGAGCGGGAGGGTAAGCTCCTGGAAGGCAGGTCTTGGACTTACATTTTCCTCAATTATGCCACACCACTCAGCACCCTTGGGAGCTCACTTTGTGCTCAGTACTGTGCTTTAATATTTGCATACAAAGATTAGCATAGGAGACCAGGCCTTGAGGGAAGATTGTGGGCAGGAGGCTGAGATAATAATGTCTTGCTGGAAGAAAGCAAGAGGATTGAGGGGCCTGAAAGAGGGACAGAATAGGGGTCAAGATGATTCCCTGGAGCCGATGACACAAGAGAAGATGGAAGGGTACTCTAGGTGTGCAGTGAGAGTAGTGCCCTGGAGACACTCGGTGGCTGTCATAGCTTTGATCTTGGGTATAGGGCACAGTGAGAGAGGATGACAGAGGGTGATCCATGACAGACCATTGGGAGTCTTAAAGGCTGGAACAAGGAGCTTGGAATTTACCCAGAAAGCAAAAGGGAAATCCTAGTGGTCATTAAGTGGAAAGGGCGTGGTAAATTCTGATCAGGAAGAAGGAGTAAGCTATAATTTGTGGTCCAATGGCTAGAAGGGGCACTAAGTCTTATACCAGACTGACTTGGAGTAACTCAACACTAATGGCTCAGACAGAGAGAATGCGTAACTTAAGAACTTTTTGCATCACACTAGAACTGGCCTGCAAACTCTTGGGGTACAGTCTGCAGGTATGATGCTACATTGAGTCCACCTAGAGGGTTTGAGGGAACTCAGAAATATGGGAAATGATGGGGGATCCCTCAGTTTAGAGAGAAGGATACTGAAGTCCAGAGAGAGAGGAAATCTATGATCAAGCACATGAGTTTTGGAGATGCCCACCACCAGTTTCCTCATCTGTACAATGGAGATATTAGAAATACGTACTTATCAGGGTGTTTCTGAAGATCAAATACAGTATGTACATTAAGGGTTCAGCACAGGACACAGGGCTGATGAATGGTAGCTGCTGCCATCACGATATCCATGTGGAAAAGCAAGGGGGTGTGGGCTAATACTATCTAAGACCCTTCCGGACAGTGGCATCAAATCTGGGATGCTATAAGCCAAAAATCTCAGGGTAGAATGAGAAGGAGACCAGAACCATGAAAATAGTGGTTAAAAATTCTCCACATCTACTAAATTAATCTATATATTCATTCAATAAATACTGAGTGCCAACTCTGCAGAGACCTTGATGGCACCCAATATTTATTGAATGAATATAATAACTGTCCCCATGTGTTGAGTGTATGCTTTATGTCAGCCAAATGTATTCACTCATAACCCTACCAGAATGACCTTATTATTATCATCATTTACAAATATGGAAAATAATCTCAGAAGGGTTAAGCAAATTGCTCAAGATGACACAGCTCATAAACCGAGGCTCCTGGAACTAGCCAGTCTGGCTCCATAACCCATGTTCTCAACCACCGTCCTACCACCAAGAGATCAAGCAGAGGGAAACAAGAGACAAGATGGCTAGAGCTCCACAGAGCACATTGTACATATCCCCAGCCTCCACCTTCCCTATCTCCCTTCCCTGCTTTATTTTCTCTTGGCACTTATATGACATATTACATATTTGGCAATTTATTAATATACTTACTGTATGTGCCTCTGATCACTAGAATATAAGATGCATGGGTCAGGGACTTTGGTCTGATCTACTCACTGCCATGTTCCTAGGACTAAGAACAGTGCCTGGAACATAGCAGGTGCTGAATAAATATTTGGTGAGTGAATGAATTACTTCTGGTAGGGAAGACAAACAATACACAAAAGAATGGAAAATATATCCTTCTAGATGGAGATAAGTATTGGGGGAAAATTAAGCAGGGTAAGGGAATTGAGAGTATTGGGGGGAATAGAGGGGTGGTATCCTAGGAAAAGCCTCTCTTACATGTAACATTTGAATGGAGATTCAAATAAATAAAAGGATGAATGAAATTTACGAATACAAAGGAGAGAAAATTAAGTCTTGGGCTTTGGGGAGATATGGCTTCAGGTTCTGGTTTCATCCCTCATAGTTTACATGACCCTGGGTGAGTTCCTTAGCGGCTCTGAAGCTGAGCTTCTTTTTCTGTCAAATGGAGTAATGATGTTCACTTCACATGACAGCAATAGTTTGAGCACCAGGCAGCACGATTTTCTGGTACATAGTAAGTGCTCAATAAATAGTGCCCAGTGTTAACAAAAATGATATAATTTAATATTAGTAAGAATAATATCCCTCTTACCACTAATGTTATTATAATATAACACTATATCATACTATGTTCATACTATGTTGTTATATGATACTTGTTAGGCAGTAATTACCAGAAGGGGCCTGGGGTCCAATCTGCTTATTCAGTTGCTTAAAAAAGACCCACTGTTGAGGCCTCCATGCTGGATCATGGGCCTATTTCAGGGCTGGGAGACCACCCACTGCCAACCCCCTACCCCACTCTAGGTCAGCCTGGACCATCACCTACCACCCAGGGCTTGCTGCAGAAGTTGTAGACGGAGTAGAGAGAGTTGACAGCAGGCAACCCTCCATACTGGAGGCCAATGACCAGACTTCGGTAGTCTTCACCCAGGGCCATGCTGTAGGCATGCTGACGGACCAGGATGAAGTCTGGCTTGAAGGATCTGCAAAGAGAAGGGCCCGCAGCAGTGTTACTACATGAGGCATTGCTGAAACACCAGGGCATCAGATCACAGCCTACAGGGGATAGCAATGACCTGGCATGGGTGCTGCCAGCCCAGGAACCTCAGTTCAGAATGGGGATGGGGTGGGGGAATGTGGATGGGGACAGTCAGATGCAAACACACAGCAGCTACAAAATGAAAGGCCTGAAAAGAACTCATATTTTATTCATTTTCTTTTTTAGGTGGTTTTTTAGATTTTCTATATTGAACAAATATTCATTTATTATCAGAGGAAAATGTGAATGCACCTCCATTTTATAAGGCAGCACCTAGTACCTTACCGAACTCTCATAACTGCCCAAGAACATGGGCAGTGCTGCCAGAAACTCCATTTTACAGAGGAGCACTGATAAAGGAAATTTTCAACTTTCAACGTTTGTAGGCCCTGCTCCTCAGCTCCCAGGGAAGCTATACTCCAACATTTACCAGGGTCAAAATGACTCGGCGAAACCTCAAAGCACAGGCTCTATGTCTGCCCCAAGCGCGCATGGTGTATATCTGCTTTGTTAAAGAAAATAACCAAAAAGGAACATTCTGAACACAAAGATAAAAAAAAGTAAGAAACTTCCCTGGTTCCAGTAAGACTCAAGTCACACAGCCTTGCAAATATTATAAACTTAAGATAAGGCCTGCAACTTTCTGAAATGTTCTTTGTCTAATAATTTGCAACTTTTTATGCAAAATATATATAAACCTACATCAAATGTTCCCTTACCAGAACACTCTCTTCTTTGTGAAGATTGTGTATACTCTTGGGCTTGAATAACTCTTTTTTTATTCCAAAATTTGTTCATTTTGTGTCAACAGCACCTAGAGGCTCACAAAGATTAAGTCACTTGCTCAAAAAGACATGCTGCAGGTACATGGCAGGTTCAGATACGTGTAGCCTCATGGCCCTAATTCTCAACTACCATGCATCATGGTATGTATATATACATATACACATACACACACACACACAACATGTGTACATTCATATATAATCTGTGTATTTCAAACATGTCTTGTCTCTTTAAAGTAGCAGCCTCTGGAAAGCAGCAAGAATATTAATGTGATGGCCAAGAACACGGCAGTCTCTTTGCTGGGCCCCTTTGGAGACGTGATAGTATTCACAAGCAGACATGGGTAAGGTTGGGACTATGTCCCCACTTTGTAGATGGGAACACACAGCCCAGAGAAGTTACAAACTTCCCCAAGTCACAAAGCTGGGAAGCAGGAGAGCCATGTGTGAACTCGGGTGATCACTCCAAGTCCATATTCCCTCCATCACATGGCTCCAGGTGAATGATTTCATACACTCTTTTACTTGCACTGCCAAGGATCCATCTATTTCCAGATTCCTCACTTCTAGGTCACACAACAAAATCAGCTTCACAGTGCATAGGTGGTTTACCCTTAAAATGGTATGATATGCTTATCCTGAGTTAGACACTTAGCTTCAAATAAACTATTTTTCTTTAAATAATTCAAATTCAAGTTAAAATAACTGTCAAACGGAAAGGACTTGCCCCATTGGAGACAGAAGGAAAGAATGAGCTGCAGGTGCAGATACTTCTCAAATTGGTATGAGGTTGGGTCTCCTTGTACACTTCAGGGTCTGGTGCCAGGGGAGCAGTGGTGAAATAAGTACATGTTGAAGGAATGAATAATGTACATGAACATCATCCTCTTGTCCCTAAAGGAAATGGTAAAGTTCTCCCCCATGGAGCTGTAACTCATTCCAGGGAACCAGGTGGATGGTAACATGTTGGGTATGGCTGACATTGTGGTCATGGAGATGGTCAATCATGTCACTCTGTAGTTAGGGTCAGAGTTGGGTTGGAAGCTTGTAATTATTATGTCTATATCGTTATTGCATTCTTAGAGCTGAACCAGTCCAACTAATGTATTTTACAGACAGGGAAACTGAAGCCCATAGCAAGGCAGTGATGTGTCCCAGGCAAAACCATGCCAGAGCACGTCACACCCAAGTCTCTCCTCTGGCTTTCCTGTTCTTTGTGTTCCAATTTGCTGGCTCTTACAGCAATAGAGAAAGAAGAGAGGAAGAGGCAAGTGGTGTGTTTCTAATAGGGAACTGATGACGACTGCACTCACAAAATATAACTATTTTCTGCTATTACCTGATTTTAAAAGCAATATATGTTCGCCATGTAAAAGGAAAAAAAGCTTCAAAAACACAAAAAAGTAAACAAAATTACCTGTAATTCTCAACGGGAGAAAATCCCTAATAACCTTTTATATGTCTCCTTATATGTACACTACAATCCGATTATCTATTTTTAATGTATATAATGTACATTCATACTCATACTTGATTTCATGCTCTCTATTTTCCAAATAATATTTTAGTGTGAGCATTTCTCTACAAAATATCTTCAAATCTTCAAAATATCTTCAAAAATATTGTTTCTTACAGCCACCCAACAGTCTACTGAATGGATATACCATAATGAAGTCAACTTGTCATCCACTATTATCAAGTAGGCTGTTTCCAATACTTCATACACGTACATGTTTGCACACAAATCAATGAATTCCTTTTAAACTATTTCCTTAAGATAGATTTTTAAGAAGTGAGATTACTGGCTTAAGGGGTATGAAATTTTTTTTTTAATACCCAAACATGTCCCCCTTTCTAAAGACCTAAGCCGCCGGATGCACATGACAGTGCCCACATCACTATGGCTTCCCCAGCACAGCAGACACTTTTTTAATTTGATAAGTAACTTCCCCCAAGATACCCTATATCCCCACTGCTATTTTAGTTTGCATTTCTGTGACTTTAGTGAGCGTGAGTACTTTCATTAAAGATGTGCATTTTCTTTTCTGTAAAAGTCTGCTCACAGAGCTCTGAGTATAGGGTGCTGTCCTTTATCACACTGTCTTGTGTGGCAATATTTTTGCTAGTTGTTTGTTTGTTTCCCTTTTTTTATGGCTATGCATCTTCAAAAAACCATATAAACACATTTTCCATTCCCTCCTAGTCAAATCTATCAGTCTTTCCCTTTTGATTTCTCTCTCTGCTTTGATGATCAGAGGGTCCTCCAGGCCCCTGGTTCTCACAATGAGACACCCCTTACTCCCAGCAGTGTGGTTTCCCCCACAGATAACAGCAGTGGCAAACCTGGTGTCTCACTGGGGTAACTCCATTCTGCCCCAGGAGGAAATAATTAAAGTTTTCACGCTGGCTAGCCTGCCAGGTTTTCAGTGTTTGTGGAGAACTCATAAGAAAGACACAGCCTGGGGGGAAAATCTGGCTATCTAGAAAAAGAGGGAGCCCTTCCAAGATATCATCCAAGAGAAGTATCTGAGGGCCTGTGCTGGGATGGCCCCATTCCAGTCCCAGATATTATGATGTGCTTTCTCTCCAGGACTTCAAGAACTCACCTCTAAATTGGAATCTTTCTAATTCTTTGAAATAAAAGTAGTAGTCACCCCCTCTTTGTCTTTAAGGATTTGGAAATCTACCTCAAGATGCTATGTTCAAAGTGCTCTTTCAAAATTCTACAGCCCTTCCCTGCTTAAAAACCCCTTCTAGGCTTCCTCTTTCTGACAGCATATCCTAAGCTCCTTACCATGGCAACAAGACCCCTACTCACCTCTCTATCCTCACTTTTTACCTTTCTCCCTCCCTCACCTCCACTGAGCCACACTGACACCTTCTCTTCCTCTAACTCTCTCCTGACGCTCTTCCCCAAATGGTGCCCAGGGGGCCTCATCCTTATCACTTACTCATTAGCTAGGGTTCATTTCCACAAAGATACTGATCTTGGTCTCTCTATTGAAATTTGCGTCAAACCCCATATTGTCCTACTTTCCTTTCTTCACAGCACTTGTGGCAATTTTATTTCTCCGGTTTATCTACTTAGTTTTTTATTATCTGTCTCTTCTCCGCTAAAGATGACAGCCCAATGAGAACAGAAGATCTGCCTGTCTTGAACAAAATAGAGCATACCAATGTTGTTAAATGGATGACCAAGTTAATGAATGCATGTGTAAATGAGGAAATAAATGAATGGGCAAGAAGTGAAATGACCACTGGAAAAATGAAGGACCTCTTTACCTGTACTCCTAGAGAAGAGAACTGGTGCTGATAGAGTTGCCAGGATATATCATGTGGCCCCTAACAGCTAGGGGCTACCTTACAAGGGAAGATGCTCTGTATTCCTAGAGATATATTAACATTATCAAGAAAGTTTTAACCCTAGGGAATTCAAGATGGACCCCATGACCTCTTCAGATTCTCAAGTATAATATGTAAAAAATAAACACTTTCTATGAGTGATAAACCTGGGCAAACCAGGCACATATTACAGTTCAAATGCTGCCACTCACTGCTGCATAGAATGCACAGGGTCCTTCCTGACAGTCTGTGATAGGAGGGATTTGCAAGGAATGCAGAAAAATTAGTAACTTGAACCAGGCGACCTGTGGCATGAAATCCCTCCCTCCATACCCAGCACCTCAGCTTCTCTATTCAGCTGGGGAATGGCCAAGTCCTAATATTACCCCAACATCCAAGGATGTGGCCACCAGCAATTCTTAGGCCCTGGCAGTGGTCCAAGCACCCTGGTAGAGGCTGGAGACTCTGAAATGACAGGGACTTGATCCCTGTTTTTAGGATACTCACAATCCAAGAGGAGTTGGGTGCAGTTCCAAAGGACTAGGACTTACAAAGTGCCGCAGTAAGTAAGTGAAATAATAGAAGCATGTAGAAGATTAGAAGATTTGGTGGACCAAAGAAGTATTCATCTCTGTCTGGGGGTGAGTGGGGGGTCAGCATATGCTGGAAGGCTTGGGTCTTGAAGAAAGAGTTGGGATTTGTCATTTGGGCAAGGTTTTGGAGGTGTTCCAGGTAGAGGGAATGGCCCCTGTCTCCATCTTTTTCTTCTGAGTTATATGACCTATTAAGTTCCCTTTGTTGTCTACACTGGTGAATT